TGTGATTTTTGTCAAAAGAAAAAGAAAAAGGAAAAAAAAGAAAATGAGAGAAAAAAAGAAAAGAAAAATGCATATTCCCTGGCAAGATCGCATTAGTCTTTCTTTCATAAATTCAAATATTAAACTACAATAAATAAATGAAACTCAATTTGTTATTTAGCATGTTAAAAGGGTATTTAAAATTTAACAGCGTCTAGAGATCTATGATTAACTCGTATAAAACTACAACAATTAGAAAATAAGGAAAATATCTCCATACCTCCAATTTTTAAGTTTTATATCTCATTAGACCCAAGGTTTCAAAACATATCTTGAGTCATAGAAATTCTAAGTCTTGTATATTCTAACCACCTAAACTAATTTTATCCCCTTTAAACTAATTTTTTTGCCCTAAACAAATATAATAAAGACATATCATTTCTAAACACCATCGTTTCTCTCTCTTTACATGATTTTTCCTTAAATTTCTCTCTCCATGACTTTTCCCAAACCCTCTCTCTCTCCCTATTTTCCCAGTTTCTCTCTCCATGGTTTGTTTTTCTTTATATATTTGCTTGATTTCTATTGATTGGTTGGATATTATTCACATGGATAATTAACTGTATGTAGATTGTGCCTGCTTTTGGAACCCAAAATGAGAGAGAGGGGTTTTGGGAAACACGGAGTAGAGAGAGAGCGAGAGATCTAGAGAGAGAAAGTCACAAAAATACAGAGAGAGAAGGGGTTTGGGCGAATCTCAAGGAAGAGAGAGAAAGAGAGAAATTTGGGAGGAATATATCACGTAACAAGATAAAGGGTTTAAAATAAGCATGTCTTTTTTTATATTTGTTAGGGCTAAAAAAATAATTAAAAGTGAGTAAAATTAGTCAGGGGGTTAGAAGATATATTTTAAATCCTTGAGTCTATTCAGATATGTAAACCAAAAATATGAGGTACGAAGATATTTCTCCTATAAAATATTAGTATCATTATTCAAATTACTCAACCACAATTACTTAAGCCAAATGATATTTTTCTTTATTTATGATTCACACAATAAATTAAATTTATATATTTAATAAATAAAATATAATGATATTTAATAGAAAATTACACAAATAAATATAGTACCAAGCTATAATAAATCAAAGAAACTCACTTTATTACTTAAAATATTTAGTAGGGTGTTCCAAATTTGATAGCATCTAAATTTGATATGGCAGTAGGTATAGGGCAGTCCGGCGTTTTGATATGGCGGTCGGTATTTTGAAGGGGCAGTGTGGTATTTTTAAATAGCGGTCCAGCATTTCCTTTTATTGAGATCCGAAAATGATTTATTATATGTAGGAAGGGTATTTTCGTAAAAAAATATTTTTTTTTATAAGGGGTATTCGTTAGAAAAGATTTTTTTTTTTTTAAGAAGTTGTTAGGAAAAGTTGGGTGGAGGTAAAGTGCGTAGAAAGTCCATTTTAGGGGGCTTATCCAATTTTCCCAATAAATTATCGTTGGTGTTTAATTTAATGACAGATTGTTAGAGAGATTTAAGGAGGTGGGAATCTTTGGTGAAATGTTTTTTAGAAAGAGAAAAAATAAGGAGAATATCACATGTCATAAAAATAGTACAAGTCTCCTTCTCCCTTAAAATAGAGGAGATAAATAATCAAGAATATTTAATGAGAACTCTGTTTTAGAAAGAGAAAAAATAGAGAGATTAACACTTGTGTCATAAAAATATTGCAAAAGTCACCTTCTCGCATAAAATAGAGTAGATAGATAATCAAGAATATTTAATAGCGTTATAAAATATGGAATAATTATTTGCACATGTACATATGGATATAACCATCAGTATAGGAAAACACTACGTAATGCCTATGCGAAAATAGGAAAACACTACTTAAGGCTTATGCGAAAATGAACCGTGATTTCGTCTATGTTCATTATCGTCCAAAATTCACCATACGGTCATAGTTGTCTGGTAGTATTTTATTTTTCATTGTTTTTATATAAATCGGAATGATTTGAAATTTGGAGCGCATGTTCAACAAAAATTGAATAATCTAATAAAAATATAAAAAAAATAATTCGAAAAAATTTAAATTGATCAAATTACCCCTGAAAATTTACGGGGGTATTTTATTAATTTATATTTTACGAAATATTTTTTCCATATTTTTATTGGGTGCTCCTCACTAAGATGTACGCACGTTCCAAATTTCAGATTATTTCGAATTATAAAAAATAAAAATAAAAATTTAAACATTATCAGACAATCGTGACCGTACGATGAACTTTGGATGGTGATGAGTATAGACGAAATCACTTATCATTTTCGCCTATTGGCGTTGGGAAGACTTTTCCATTAGTCATTAGAATAAATTAATAATATTAGGTTAAACCTTGAGTGTGCTTCATAATATATAATTAATATTTTTATAATAAATGAATGACTATTCTAATTTTAATTACGATAAATTTGTAACAAAAATGTGAGGTCTCACCGTTTTTTGTTAAATGATCCAGTATAGTTATTTTTGTTCATATACGCATACTCGCCACATTTATAATATCAACCAAAAATACATAAAAAAAAATAAGAGAATATATATCGAATGTATAATTATATTTTTATTATGAATACATATTTATACTCATATTAATATAATATATAATTATACTTACAGGTTTGTAATTTTTTTATTATATTCAAATGTAATTCCAATTATTTGTGTAAGTCATATTATTTAATACCATTACAATTATATTTTTTTCAATATGAATAATAATAATTAACAGAATCAAAATTATTAGTTATAATAATAGTAATTATTATTGATAAACAACACTAATTAATATAAATTATAAAAATTACAAAATTTCTATTATTTATGTCTAAATTTCTATTATAATTAGAATAAAGTAAATAGTATTTAATTATAATAGCTAATAATTAATTAACACTAAATATTGGTAAATTATAATAATTTTTTACTGATCAAAACTTAAATTTAAAATTTTTTGTAAAATATTTAAATTTTGATTATGAGGCATTACTTGGGCGTGAAAATTATTATATATAAGCTGTAAATTCTAAAATGACAGTAGGACATAAAGGATGTTTCTATTTATGCTTACGATAATTTGATAAAATAAGAGAAACAAATCTCTCCCTATTCTATGCATAAATTATTATTTTATTTATGCATATTTAATTCCTGTTATTTATGTTTTTATTACATGATTTTATTTATACCATTTAATGTATGATTATCATTTTTTTCAAATGTTAACTTTATGACCATATCTGTTTGGGCCAAATGTATTAGGACATTAATTGAGGGATAGAGATATGGATTATATAACATTTAATGACATGTAGGGAGGGAGATTTATAAGACATTAGAAGATAAGGACTCGGTTTCTATGCGGCAGGTTTATAAGAGATTAGAACATAAGGACTCGGCTTCTATGCGGCCATGCAAATGTAGAAATGCGGATCTATTAATAGATATATTTTTTGAAAGGCTTTTTGGGTTTAATTTTTAAGGATATGCAATTTCTAATATGGAGATCATAAATATGAATAAATAAATAAATTTTAAACATTAGGAATAATAATTCTAGTAAGAAAACATTTGGACAGTTAGTTTCCATTGTTTTTTACGCAGAACACCTACTTGCATCCATCTTAAAGATAGATGCTTTACACTTTATGGATCGCATATGTAGAAATGCAGTCCAGCCCGCATGAAAATATTTTCCATAAGATAAATATAGTAAAAGTTAAAATCAAGAAAGCAAATTAGAAATTCGATATTAATTGAGGGATATAGAGAGATTAATAGATATAACATGTAATGAGATGCACAATAATTGGGAGAGAGATTTATAAGATGATAAATATATTATAAATTTAAAATTGCAAATCAAGAAAGTAAATTAGAAATTTAAAAAACATCTATCCACAATATAACCAAAAAAGCATAATAAAAGGGAAAGGTTTCTATACTTCTCCTATATCATAGAAGATTTATGTTTCCCCTACCATCCAACCATTCAATTTTGATCAAGAAAGCTACTCAAAGAATTTTATTTTTAAGTTTTTTTAAACAAATTTTATAAATATGAAAATTTGGTACGTGTCATCTTCTCATTGGGATGCACCTATAAAAAAAATATTAAAAATTTTTTTTCGATAAAATAGAATTATCAAAATACCTCTTGAAACTTTCATGGATATTTTATATAATGGAAATTTTTTTTATACATATTTTGCTAATTTGAGTTTAATAGAGGACTGGATGTACAAAAATTGGTGTTAAAATAGTTTGTTGAAAAAATTATAAAATAAAATAATTTATATATATAATAAAATTGATGTTAAAATAATTTATATATTTTTTATATAACTTAAAAATAAAATAATATAGAGACATGAGAATGTGATTTAAGCATTCTTAACCCTCCATTTAATAAGGAGAAAATATATGTCGGCGCTTCAGTCATTACGAGGGGAGAGAGAGGTCCCCGTAACGAAAGAGAGAGATAGAGACAGGTCCTCGTAAGAAGAGAGAGAGATAGAGACAGAGATAGAGATAGAAAAAGGTCCTCGTAAGAAGAGAGAGGTAGAGATAGAAAAGGTCCTCGTAAGAAGAGAGAGATAGAGATAGAGATAGTGAGAGTTAGAAGAGAGAGAGAGATAGAGATAGAGAGAGAGGTCCTCGTAAGAAGAGAGAGATAGAGAGCGTTAGAAGAGAGAGAGATAGAGATAGAGAGAGGTCCTCGTAAGAAGAGAGAGATAGAGATAGAGAGAGAGAGGCGTTAGGTTCGTTGACGCGCGAAAACGAGGATAAATACATAGATAGCTGCTGTGAGACCCAATGTGCCCTCTCTCGTTGCCACGTGTCCAGCGTCGCTTTTTCACAGCCCTTTTTATAGCCCATCTCTTTCTTCCTCTCGTTACATCTCTCTCTTTCTTCCAATTTCTCTCTCGTTTTCTTGAGCAAATCTCTCATTCGCTCTCCTCTTCTTCCCCTCGCCCCTCCCCTCCCCTCCCCTCCCCTCCCCTCTATCTGGATAGGGTTTCGCATTCCCTCTGCGGCTTTCTTTTACTCTCTCTCTCCACTTGGATGGACCATTATTCCGACGGATTTTCCTTTCAGGTGCCTGCTTTAGGGTTTCACCATCGGAGCTTCTCTGTGCGCAATGTCTCTGCAACTTTATGCAACAGCGATTGTTCTGGTTTCTTGGTTCTTTTTATGAAAATAAGGTTCGAAGAAATCCATTGTTTTGGTTCTTTTTGTGAAAAGAGGAGCTGAAGAAAGCCATTGATTTTTCGCTCTATCAGACTCTTCTCTCTGGTTATTGAAAAATCTTGGTAGAAGAAGAATAAGAAGTAAAGAAAGTGGAGACGATGAATTGCGGATGCGGGCAGGAGGGTGAGGTTTGCTCTGGCCAGGCTGAGCCACCAGACCCTGATGTTCTTGAACTGGATCCCACCCGCCGATATGTTCGGGTAAATTTTATGGATAAATTCAGTCAGTTCATTTTTTTAATTTGTTGTTGGGTTCATAATTTTTTTTAAATTTCCTGGTTTGATTGGCAGGAAACACAACAAATTATAGTTAAAAACAATTGGAATCTGTTCTGATGAGTCCTAATATATTTTATTTAGTAGGGGCTATGTGTATTTGTTTTTTCATTGTAATTGGCCTATTATGAATGTTGGTTTAGTAGAAAGTCTATCATGCCTTCTAAAATGCTTGAATTTTCGCTGGATGTTGGAAAAGGGAATGACTTTTAGTTGAAAAGGACTGATGCAGTTTAAACTTTGACCTCCAATTTCTTTTTAACCTATTTAAAGTAAATTTCCCAACAGAAGTGAAAATTTCTTAGATGTCCTAATGAAGTCTTTCTTGTCAATGAACTCGCGATGATTTTCAATGAGAAAGGATTCCTACATACTGCTTTGCAGTATTTAACTACTCGGCCATAGCCACTCAACAGAGTTACTCAGACTCGGCTAACTCGGCTCCAAGCCCAACCAAGTACCCAAGTACAACTCTGATATCAGTGTACTGGGACTTGGATGAGTCTACTCGGACTCCGTCGAGTTACTCGGCCTCGGCGAAGTCGAATACCCCCGAGTGGTGTGACGATTCGGGGCATTTAAAAAAAATAAAAAAATTGTAAAAAAAAATAAATTATGCTTTACATTTTTTCTTACATGATTTAGATGCATTTGCCAAAGATTGATGAGTGGTTTTTTCCATAATCACATTTTTATATTTTTCTTTTTTGGATTTTTTTAAAATCCATGTTTTCTAGACCTTTTTTTTGCCTTGTTTTAACCTTTTAAAGTTGTTTGAGGTTTGAATTTACTTTTAATACATGTTTTTTATTTTTCCTTTATTTTTTATATATTTTTGGGTCATTTGGCTTTTGGCTGGACTGAGAGCACTCTGCCAAGTGACTCACCTCGGCCAGGTTGCGAGTCCCGGTACATTGTCTGCTATTTTAAAAAATAGAAGAATAAAAATTATGTAAATTTGTGAATCAATGTATACAAATCATGTGTTATTTTGGATTCGTTTTACAATGATTTTGTGAGTTTCTATTGTCAAATGCCGCATTTTAGTATTTTCCTTTTTTGTGAATTTTCTTGAAATGTCTCCAACCGTAAATCAATTTTGCTAAATCCAGTTTTTTGGATTCCTTATGTTGGCTTATGTTTTGTTTCACTTTTCAAGTTTTTATATTATTTTTAAAAAAATTTAGGGCTTTTTTGGCCTTGTACATCACTCGCTTGGACCCAGTCTAGGTACTAGGCTCGGGCTAGGGTCGAGTCTCATGCCCAAGCCAAGGCTTAAAAACATTTCTGGTTTGCTACAGAGTGCTTATATTCCAATTATGTAATGATGATTGGTTTGTCATTAAGGTGCAACATATGATGAGTTCTTCTTGGGTGTCAAAAAAATGGAAGCATTTCTTTACCAAGAACATTCTATTACCCATGATGAGTTTTCTGACTATGAGAAAAAGGGCATTATCAGAGCATGTATTTTTTTTTTTTTTTTAATTCTCCTTTTCTGTGGTAGTTGACCATGTTGAAAGGTTATCATTGTCTGATTGGTTTGGGTCTTGAACAGTTCAAAGATGTATTGGGCAGAGGGGCATTCAAGACAGTGTATTCTTCATCTCCTCTCCCTTTATTTACCTTTTCATTTCATGATTTTGGGAATTCTGTTTTGCAAATCCTTATTCCCATGATTCCTTTCTCCTTGTTATAGTTACAAGGCATTCGACGAATTCGATGGAATAGAAGTAGCATGGAACCAAGTGAAGATTGACGAAGTGTTGCAGTCCCCCGAGGACTTAGAAAGGCTTTACTCGGAAGTGCATCTTTTGAAGTCATTGAAACATGAAAACATAATCAAATTCTACAATTCTTGGATCGATGATCAAAACAAGACAGTGAATATTATCACTGAGCTGTTCACTTCAGGAAGCCTGCGCCAGTAAGTTCTTTTCATCCATGCATTCTAACAATTATGGCCACCCAAAATAAGACACCACCACTATTGTTGGATTTCATTTTGGTCGACTCTACAGATAACAAACTGTAAATTTGCTACTTTTTGTATTTTTTTGGAAGTACTGATTCTGTATTTCTATTACTTTAAGAACAAACTCTGAATTTGTAAAATACGTTTGCACTTCAGATATCGGAAGAAGCATAGGAAGATAGACATGAAGGCTGTCAAGAGTTGGGCGAGACAGATTTTGCAAGGCTTAGTTTATCTTCATAGCCATAACCCGCCCATAATACATAGGGACCTCAAGTGCGATAACATATTTATCAATGGAAACCATGGCGAAGTGAAGATTGGGGATCTTGGGTTGGCTACAGTTATGCAGCAGGCCAATGCTCATAGTGTTATTGGTAGATATCTTTTATTGGAGTGTGTTAGTCCCATGTCTTTCCATATGTTGTGACTGATATTTGTTCTGTATAATTTCTAAAAAATAAGTACTTACACTCTGCATTTTTATAGGCACTCCTGAGTTTATGGCGCCTGAGCTCTATGAGGAGGATTACAATGAGCTGGCTGATATTTATTCATTTGGCATGTGCTTGCTTGAAATGGTCACATTCGACTATCCGTACAGCGAATGTTGGAATTCTGCCCAAATTTATAAGAAGGTTTCATCTGTAAGTCATTTTGACCATTTATTATCGTAGCTCGTTCCATGAATTATATGCCAATAGAGAAGTGATCAGATTCAATATTTTATTCTTTCTGTAGGGGATAATGCCAGCTTCTCTTAACAAAGTAAAGGACCCCGACATGAAGTGCTTCATAGAGAAATGCCTCGTTCCAGCGGCTAAAAGATTGCCAGCTAAGGAACTTTTGAAGGATCCTTTTCTTAAATTGGATGGTCTTCGAGAGTCTTTTGGGCATGATTCCCTTCCCTTACCCGATATTATATTCCCCAAAACCGGTGCATTTGGAGACCGGTGTGTCTTATCAGAGGATACCACTAATGTACATCCAGTGGGCACCACCATGGACATAGATGATGATGAAGATGAGGAGTATGGGCTCCCCATAGTCACCATAGTTGAGAATGGCATAGTTGATGGCCCTCCATCTCCGAGCCTGGAGGTGCAAATGTCAAGGAAAGACCATGACTTCAGGCTAAAGGGGGAGAGAAATGACCAGAATACCATATCACTGATATTGCGGATAGCTGACCTAAGCGGTAACTGACTGATTTCCTTCTTGGACCCATCTTTTTCCCTAGTTTAGTTTAAAGAAAGGCAACGTATACTGTAGTCAAATGATCTATGGAAAACAATATCCATATGGGTTCATCAATGTCAATACCGACTGTATATTGTAATGGTGGAAGGTGATGGAGACAGGGAGATCCCCATTGAGTTCATGTCTTCTATTTGTGGGTCCGACTCTATCTTTATCACCACCAATTTTTTCATTGGATAACCCATTGGACAATATTAAAATTTGTTTGCACTTTTTTTTTTTTTGCTAGGTCAGGATGACATTTGACCTTTACCTTGAACTTGTGCCTTTTTTTTATCACACAGAGCCAAAAATACTGCTTCTGCTTGGGAAGTCAGCAGGAAAAGGTTCGGTGCCCATTTCATTAAAAAGAATAGGCACTTCTTATAGAAATTCAACCCTCAACCCTCAGTTAGGCAATTTAATATAAGAAATATAAGCTGAAGCTTAAGAAGCAAAGACTTTCCTTAATAAAACAAAATTTATTTGTATTGACGGGGTTGTTTGAATAATCTTTGATCTATACTTGCAGGTCGAGTAAGGAACATCCACTTTCTGTTTTACCTCGACAGTGATACAGCACTCTCAGTCGCAAGTGAAATGGTTGAGCAACTTGAACTCTCTGATCAGAATGTAACCCTCATAGCTGAGTTGATTGATTTGTTAGTATTCAATCTTGTGCCCAACTGGAAACCTTGCATGCCAATCGACAAATTGGTCACTTTAGATGGGATTAAAATTTCTCAAAGCCCACCAAGCAAAAGCTCTGAATTGCTTGAAAATCCCAATCACTTCACTGGAGATTCAATTAAAACCAGCTGCTCCATCCAAAACATGATACAAACCGTCGACATTTTGAGCCCTCCACCTGTCTGTTACGCAAGCTTGGAAGAAGGCTCTGTTAAGCCTACATGTGAATCTCAAAATATGGTTAGTATAGAAGAGAGGACGTCCAATATTAAGCCTACATGTGAATCTCAAAATATGGTTAGTATAGAAGAGAGGACGTCCGATGTTAAGCCTACATGTGAATCTCAAAGTATGGTTGGTATAGAAGAGAGGACGTCCGATGTTTCATTTGTTTCTGCAGTTTCCACCGAAGAGGGCGAGAAGAAGTTATCCATCACATGTATCTGTTTAGATTCGGGTTGTGAAGCATTTAGTCACCATGATATGACACAAAAGAGAGAATCAAACCATGATATGACACAAAAGAGAGAACCAAGTAAGAGAAACGATGTTCGCGGGGTATCTAGGGAGAATACCAATGGTGAAAAAGAAGCCTCCACTAACTCAATGACATCCAATGATTTGTCAACATCATTTAGCATGCTGAGCAATGCTTCCTCTGTGGTTTCTGCTGGTTTGAATGAGGACAAGGAGTTGAGAGCAGAGTTGGAGATGATAAACTTGGAGTTCCATCGTGTTATCGAGGAGCTCTTGAGTAAGAAGCATCAAGCAATAGAGGCAGCGAAGAAGAGGTTGAATCAAAAGAAGATTTCAGCTCACTAACCATTCACTTATTTGATTATTAACTCAGTGTGCATTTGAAGAGGCCAGATATGGGTTATTTACTGGAAGAGAAGACTCAAAATTACTAATCAAAATTCATTGTCTATAAATCACTCTTAACATGGATCATATTCTATTGCATTCTCCTCCCATTCTGTTAAATGCAATTAATTGGTGATTATTAGCTCAATTGGCATTTGAAGAGGCCAGATTGGGTTACTTTACTGGAAGAGAAGTCTCAAATGTACTCATCAAAATTCAGTGTCTATAAATCATTCTTAACATGGATCATCTTCTACTGCATTCTCCTCCCTTCCTGTTAAATGCAATTAATTGGTGATTATTAACTCAATTTGCATTTGAAGAGGCCAGATATGGGTTGCTTTACTGGAAGAGAAGTCTCAAATGTACTCTTATCAAAATTCATTGTCTATAAATCACTCTTAGCATGGATCATCTTCTACTGCATTATCCTCTCTTCTTGTTAAATGCAATTAATAGGTGATTATTAACTCAATCTGCAGTTGAAGAGGCTAGATATGGGTTACTTTAGTGGAAGAGAAGTCTCAAATGTACTCATCAAAATTCATTGTCTATAAATCACTCTGGACATGGATCATCTTCTATTGAATTCTCCTCTTCCAGTCTCAATTGTACTCTATCAAAATTCGTTGTCTATAAATCACTCTTGACATGGATCATCTTCTATTGCATTCTCCTCCCTTCCTGTTCAATGCAATTAACTGGTTTTTTTTAGTATAGCTTTCAAATACTCAACTATTATGGAATATTTTCAGTTGCCCATATTTTTTCTCAAAGTAATTTTTAGATAATTACTAAGCCCGATGCGGCTATTAGTGAGTTCATAGCAAATGGAGGTTAACATTTCATTTCCTGCCAGAAAGTGAAACAGTGTTATGAGACTCGTCCCAGCAACTCGAGTTTTGGATGAGTGGGAACTCGAGTTTGGATGAGCAGGTTGTACGATATATTTCTAGAGTTTAATTGTATTTACTGCCTTTAAACCCTAGCGTATAACTTTTGGTGCAGTTAATGTCTGAATCCCACTAGAGTACACAACATTTTTAATGTCCGTCACCTTTTTTTATATGATAAGAATATAACTTTTTTGGAGTTCTAAAAAAAATGTAGCCAACTTACGGGTTTTTTAAAGTTTAATCATGTTACTAACTCAATTTTAAGTCGTGCTGGAATGCCTTACCGGTTAGCTTTAACGCATTGGTTTTGATGCCGTCGAGATTCGAATCCTACTAGAGTAAATTTTAGCTTTAACGCATTAGTTTTGATGCCGTCGATATTCGAATCCTACTAGAGTAAAAAAATTTTTAAATGTCCGGCACTTTTTTTTATAAGATAGAAGTATCGCTTTTAAATTGGACATTTCTCTATCTTTGTTTTATAATGTCATATGTGACATCATCCACATGGAGGACATCACACTCTCTTAATAACCAAATATACCTTTATTAAATGTCCAAATTAATGACCAAATATATCTGTCCAAATTAATGATTAAGTATACCCTTACTAAAAAAACTCCATCTATAAAATAGGTGTATATAAATGTCTAAATTTTGTTGAGTATGATAATAAATTACTTAACCTTAATATAACTCTTTTTTTAAAGTCTGTCGCTTTTTTTTTTTCTTTTTTTTTAATTTTAAAAAAAGTGTACACAACTTTTTTTAATAACCGTCACTTTTTTTATATAGCAAAAACGCAGCTCCCACTAGAATCGTCACTTTTTTATATGGTAAAAAGTATTAAGAACAATGTTTATGATGAGGGTACTAACCAGTACACCAATCAATTACTTGGTTCATAAAAGTGGCCTTCAAATTATATATAACTGTTTTTTTTCTTTATTAAACAAATGAGTTTCATTTTCTTTTAAAACAAGTGAGTTGGACCGTAGTGAGTTACTCGGGCTCGACTCGCCCTTGGTGAGGGCCCAAGTACCATGATCGACTCGATTTTTATGCTATTACATGTTTGTGCGACAAATAGCATGAGAAATGCAACTGAACCCAGCTTTTTAATGGATATCATCACTCTGTGTTTTCTGAATAAACGGCCCAAACCAAACGTATGCACATTTCACAAAGAGATCTTAGTTCATACATGAATGACCATATATATTCGTGTGCGTGTGCATGTGCATGAGAGAGATTTATATATTCTTTTTTATAGAATATTTGGTCAATGTTTAAAAAAATAAGCTTGCCTACCAAAAAGAGAGAGGAAGATTCTCCATTGGAAACCCCAAATTTTCATAGGAAAAATATACAATAAGGATCATGTTAAACTGAATGGTTGAAGGTGTGTCGTTGATTGTGTTCAAACTCCAAAAATATTTTGAGCTTTGTTAAAGACCCCAAGCTAGCAGATTTCACATCGGATCTTTGTGAAACATAAACTAGCAGATTTCACATCTGATATTTGTATCACAAACAAACCACCTATAATTTATAATCTCATTTCAACCCCATTTTCAAAATGAGCCCTAATAAGTGAATTCAGAATATGAGGTTACCCTATTAGCTAATAGCTGCAGTGTAAGCTCAATGGCCCAGATTGAATCTGGACCAATCTAATGGTCACAATTACGTTTCGTATTTTATTTTTATTTTTTTCTACAAATCCAAATCACTTGAAATTTTGAGTGTTCTTTAAAAAAAGAAAATTTATTAAAAAATATCAAAACATATGTAAAAATTATATTGACCAAAATACCTCAAAAATTTCAAGGGCATTTTGATCATTTTATTGTTTTTGAATTATTTTTTTAACATTTTTATTAGGTGCTCCTTGATGAGAGAAATGAACGTCTAAAATTTTATGTGATTTAGATATATATTAAAAATATTAAAGTTATATTAAGAAATGAGGTCGTGACCGTCATATCGACCCATATTCCATCTAGATCATTGAACAAAATATTGTAGCTATCAGCTAGTGGGCTAACATAATCTTTTCCCATTACTCAAAATATCAGTGTAAATTCTCTCTGGCTAGCATTTAGGATGCCCTTCAACAACTATCTTTTATTTGTATTTGTAGAGCGCCCTTGATGCGTTAGGTCTCAATTTATCATTTCAAAAAATGACGTTTTACATCAAAATATACATTTATCACAAGGGAAACGATCATGTGGGAGGCTCTATGCAGAAGGAATTTGTCACACCCCAAGAATTTACAGTACTGTTATTCCTGAAATGTGGCAGACAAGACATATATATATATCTATTGATAGAACAAATTTACAGTGGCGAGGTCTTACAAAGTAAATAAAAGAAAGTTTAAATAAAACTACAATATCTTCCCAAAGTTGATCTTGACAAGGACACAAATGAAACCGCAGTTATCCTGAAAAATGTTTACCATAGTTTGATGAGTTTGGCTACTCAGTAAGTGATCATCATAATCCTAAAAATAATCATGGTTGAAAGATATCAATATTTTCCAAAATGAGATCTATTAACAGAAATACATTAACAGGTTCACTTTAAAAAAAATGCATAATTAAGTATAATCCGAATAATTGAAATGCACATAACACTTTAACGCGTCAATGCATAATTCAAAGAATTTCACAAAATACCCTACTGGCGTCCCAAGTAGGACACCTATATACCCCATCAGCGTCCTGATAGGTCCACTTAATCCCTATCGGCGTCCCAGATAGGTCCACTTAATCCCTGTAGGTCCACTTATACCTCACCGGCGTACCGGATGAGTCCACTTAATCCCTACCGGCGTCCCGGGTAGGTCCACTTATACCTCACCGGCGAACCGGAGAGTCCACTTGCATACTTAAATTATTTCTAAATCTCTTTAAACATTCGAAAGCAGCAAATATCATGTACTCAACATATCACTGAAATCACTAATATGAATTTCACTTAAACCATTAATAACAGTCACTTTCAATAACATTTCAATCAATCAAATATTTTGGGCTCAAATTTAGAAAGGTAGCAAATCGTAAAGACATTCTAGCATAATTGCCAATCTAATATGTATAGGAAAACTCTTATAGAAATTCAAGAATACGGAATTATCACAATTTATGGGATGTTAATTTGCAAATAAACATTTCACAATAATACTATAATCAATTGCAAAAATGTCAATTTTTAAATAATAC